TCAAATATGAACCAAAAGTATTTTATGAATATTAGAAATTATTGTTACTAGAAATATCTATACACTAAAAGATTTCAGAGAAATAAAACAACAAAGTTTTCATCACTTATGCCACATACAATACAGTTTAAACATAAAATTCTTCCCCTTATAACAAACATTTGTTATTGTGAAAGTTAACATTTTCCTACACTGAAAGAGTATTTCTGATAGATACTTACCTCTACTCACAAATAGCTTTTCTCGACTTATACTACCCACTATATATATGCAAATTTTTGCTCACATTAGCCTTGATACTCCAACCTACCCTCATGTGTATTCACATGAGACATCTACATGCTATCATGAAAAATGAACATGCAGCAACCCTCCACCAATAGGAGTGCAACACAAATCGTACTGTCTCTAATGCCTTCTCTTCCACACAGCTTGTAATCACTTTGAGATTGGGTAATATATACAAAACTGACACCAAAAGTAGGGAGGTAGAAGGGGAGAATGTGAGAAGAGATAAGCATCTATCAGAAACACATTTTCAGTGTAGGAAAATGCTAACTTCTGATAGGATATCTTACCTCTTCTCACAAATAGCTAGAATCCAACATTGAATTGGAGTAGGGTCTGGTGAGAAGATGATCCCCCTTTAAAAAGCACCCCAAGGAAGACCATGGGGTGTGTAAATAAATGGAAGGCAACATCCTCATGGGAAACTACACCACTTCTGAGCTAGGTACACTTTTCGCCTATGTGAAAATGTGTCACAATAAGGATGGAATACAGGAGGGACCCCTACTACATCACGTGTGCACATCCAACACAACCATCACCATATCTGCCAGGAACCAACATCCATGGGACAGTAGGAAGGTTGACAGCAAATGAGGTGCATCCCCAGTCCATCACCAGATAGCAGTGAGAATGTATCATCCAGTCTGTGGTAGGAGGAGGGTACATAGTCATATATATGAGGATTTATGTGGCCGGTCCAGCACCAACTATCACCTTATTTACCAGGAAATGAAATCCAGGAGATGGTATGAAGGAGGGTGCCTCAGCTGGAGGTGCAAGCTGCATGTTGATGGAATGCATCATCAAACATTTGACAGCATCTGGAACAGTACATCAGGTCCATGGTAGGATGAGCATCAACACCATCTATACCAGCAGAACACCACTGCTCTACTCTCAACTGAGTGAGATTGAGCACACTCAGGAGGAAGCCTCCATGGCCCACCACCCCAGCTGCTAGAAACTGTTAAGTAGCAAGACTCCCATACTCCACTAGAAAAAGGTGGGTGAAACAATGAGTTGGAGAGTCCAGAGGAGCATTGCACTGGAGACACTACACTGAGTAACCACAATACCTTATTTTGAAAAGCAGACCAGTCTGGTGAACTACAATACAAGGAACATCAATGATGGGCAGCAATACCCATCTGCTTTACTCATGTCACTGCATGAGTGTATGGTCTAGGAGGAACATCTTTATGAAGCAAAATACCATGAAGAATATCTACAAATGGTATTGTGGAACATCACATATCAACGGTGGGCATATTTGACACACAGGTCTTAGATGTGGATTTAAGAATAAATATACTTAGTCAGGCAACACTTGCCACAAAGTGGGAGCCAGAGACATGAAAAGGGCTCCTGCAAAGAAAAGGTAGAAAAAGAAATATGAAGAAAATAAATATGTGTTTAGAATAACACTTGAAACTAAATACAAAAAGTAATGAACTAGAAATGAAAAACAAAGACATGAATGTAATCTACACAAATGCACAAAAAGAAATAATCAACAGGAAAGCACTATCAAAAATATGCCCTCTCAGCCAATCAAGAAGTGATTAGAGACTGCATGGAAGACAATGTGCTAGTGATGATAGGAGTTGTGTCACACTTCTATTGGTAGAGGATTGCTGCATGATCATTTGAATGATAACATGCAGATAGATATCTCATGTAAATATGTGCGAGGGTAGGCAAAAGAATCAAGGCTAGTGGCAAATGAAAATTTGCAAATATAGAAGGCAGTATAAGTCAAGAAAAGCTATTTGTGAGTAGAGGTTAGATTTTGAATAAACTATTAGATCCTGGTAAATTTTAACATAATAGAACATACTAAAATGTTATTTATATAAACTAATAAGGTATTAAAAAGATCTGGTACAATCTTTGTAAAGCAAAAGGTAAGCTTCCATGTATAAAATTCTCTAAGATATTCTAGTATAAACTTTAAAGAGCTGAATATGAAAATATCTTAATAACTAGTTAAGATCTCTTGAACATCTTAAGGTTTATAGTATAACTTTTCAACATTTTAGTTGCATTTAACATATTTAACAAGTAAGAATTCAACCCAGATTTCCTAAGAACCTATGCAAAATCTTGTTTAAGTTTTCCACACAGGAAAGGCATGAAATTTCAACAACATAAGTTTGGTGGAACGTTAGCAATTTGTTTGATTTTGATAGATAATCCTTTGCTCACCACTAATAATGTAAAATACTTTAAGTGTTTGGATAACATGTGACATCAAAACCAAACAAACTACTAACATTCTACCACTATATGAAGCATACTTTATTTATTTCCTTTGTTTTTTCCAATAAGTATTGAAGAGCTTTGAATTCAGAAAAACAAGTCTGCTGCTGCAGAAGTAGCAAATCAAAAAATAGATTAAGCCTCAACACAATCTTTTCTTTACCGAAATTCATATTTATGTTAGACGAAAAAGAATTCACAAATAACTAAATGTTAGTCTGAAGTCAATATATGAAATAGCAGACTGAAAAAGTGGAATGATGTGTCCAACACCATGTTGTCATATATAAATTTAGTCACTAAGAAGTTAAGGTGTCTATGGTGTCAGAAAAGATCCATGACTAGTGTATTTACATGTAAAAAAATAGAAAATCTAAATCTGAGAATCAGATTTGTGTCTCAAGTACAGCTATACTGTCCAAAATATAATTTTTATTATTAATATCAAGTCACCCAAACTTACCTAAAATTTAAATTTTTTAAAATCTTATGCATAACTAGAAAAAACCAAGATGTTTCAAAAGGAATTTTTTTATACATTAATTATACAGTAGTCCCTCTTAGATACGACCGACCTATCTGCCATGACAAAAAATCGTATCTGACAGGTAGTCGTTATTCAAAGGATCAATAATCAGATAACAGATGACTGAATTCAAGCTGTGCCAGCTGCTACTCCCAGGGGGTTGAACATAATGGTTTATATACTGTATAGGTAATCAGATAATGTAGAAAGTTGGTATTATAATAATAATAGTTGTGCTGGATAACAATTCAATAAATATAACTTAAAATTGTTTTGTTTGTGTTTTATGTACAATAATTTATTCATTGATCACATTTATTTCATAAACATCCATGTATCACATTTTCATTACATACATAAAAAATATTACAAACTGACACAAAATGTATTTCATAAAAAATCATCCACCTTTGTTTGTTTTGCACATTTAACAGAGTTGCTTCGTATGTTCATGAGTCTGGGAGTTATTATATCAAGGAGCATTTCACTGCTAGTTTCAGAGCACAATTTTAGTATCAATTTATAAAATAATGTGCAATAAATGTCCAGACTTTTACATCAGAAAAACTGGAAGAAAATTGAAAACCAAATTCACTGAACATAACAAAGAAACAATCCATATTTAACACCATTGCAACTTAAAAAATCCACAGTATATCTATACAAAATGCTGTAATTTTAAACAAAGGACTAAAAATCAGAAGCTACTTATCTTAACTGAACCAAACAGCCCAACCCTAAACCAAAATTTCACCTTGAAACTTGGATCCTTTGATCCCAGCTCTGAAATGGAACAATTCCACAAATTTAAAAGAACCAGTAAAAAAATAAGAATAAATATCTAAACTAAATTATAACTAGACTCTAGCCAATACCTAATAAGGTAATCCTCTCTGAATACAAATACTACATAAAATGTAATATGTTGCATTAAAACAATTTCAAGTTGACTAAAAATTCTTTAATTTCTATGTTTCGTTTATTTTGTTGCTTTTGTCACAACTTTGGTCTATATCAACATCCATGTCACATTTCTATATCAACGCTTTGAGACTTCTTCTTCATAGCAACATCCTGTTCTCAGCTTCAGACATTCGCAGCCTTCCCAGATGCCTCGAGGCATTTCATTAGCGATGCTTACTGCACAGATTAGTCAAGTCTGTTACACAACAAATCATGAGTTAATAATCTTCATACCCCACTAGTATATACTAATCAAGTTACTTAACAGCTAGGCCACCATCTCAAAATATACTACATTTACTAAAAGAGCAAACCTTAATTCCACAAGCGAGACGAAGACAAACAACAGTTTCTGACTGCCCCTAGTTACCTTTCAGAACTTGAAAGTTCTTAAACCAAAATACCTATGTGTATGTACCAAGGAGTTTGAAAAGTCATTAAAGGGAGGTCATTATTCAACCTTTCACCAAAAATCACAGTCCTATGTTGCATCTGTCAGGAAGTTATTCATGGGAGGTCAGATAAATATAAAATCATTCCATGCACAGCAAAAGAGTCATATTTACAAGGAAGTCATTACTGGGAAGGGGTCGTATCCACCAGAGACTACTGTATCTTCATGCCCTAGTTACCCTATTATACTATGTCAGTGTTCAATAATACTTCAAAGTAGTTAACTTGATGGAAATTATCAAAGCTGTAACTACCATAAAATAATTTGTTTACAATATAATCAATTCTTATAATTAAAATATTATGCAAGTTCTTCCTACACGTCAATTTAGCCAAGAACCATATGAAAACTGTCTTATCTAATAAACCACAATAAAAAAAATAAGATTGGTATATTAAACACATCTAAGCATAACAGGACTGTTTAAGTGCACACAAAATATAAAAACGTATATTGTATCTTTCAAAATAATTGGTCAACAGTAATAAAATAAAATAATATACTTGCTCTATGAAGAATCCAATTGAGGTGAAGATACTCAAGTCCTTGAAGAGTCATCACCATGTATGATTTTATGTGAGCAGTGGTCAAGATAATTGATGGATCTTTGATAATAACCTAGAGTAAGATATACATATGCATCTTGATGATATCATACAAAATGATGCAACACAATACACTGTTTACCCATGACATGCTTCATAAACAATAAAGATTTAGTTTTACTCATCATAAGAACCTGCATATCCTTATGAAAAAAGTGTATAAATACACATACACACACACACATATATATATATACACTGTATGTATAAACAAAAGTTTTATATGCTGAAAAATATTAATTTCATGCAAATAAATATAACACAAATTTGAAATGATGGGAGAACAGGCAGGAATAATGTTGATGCCAAATTTTATTTTGCAAGTAGGATATCTATATACTACTAAAATCTTGAGATTGTTTGTTTGTTTGTGTGCTTATCTGTAATTAAATATGGCAAAAACGACACACAATAGTGCCATATTTGTAATGAAATAAGAATAGGAACAGAATAAAACAAGTTTCGTTAAAATTGGGCCATGGTTCACCGGGTTAGCACCATTTTTTCGGGTCACTTTTTGTACATTACATTACTATAAAATTTCGTTTTCCACCT